CACTGAGAAAATCTGAAAGTCCTTGTACAGTTATTGTATTAAAGAACTTACGTAACAATACAAGGATAGCTGCAAGAAATATTGTTACAGCAATTGAAATAGCTGGATTTCAGTGTGGGATGAACTTTTAGAACTATAGAAAAAACTATTTCTGTAAGCGTCAAATCTGTCACAAAACAGTACAATCTGCCATTCCAACCACCATCAAGTATCATTCCTTCTTCAAGAGGTGATAATAAAATCAGCAGGGAATTTGAGAAGGGTTAAAAACATTTTTGTTTGTAGTTACAATGTTGAAGTTTACTTTGCATGAATTTGCTGTCTAGAACTTTTCACTCATATCTAAATGTATTTCAAATTATCAATTTTGGAACAAAGATTATGTTTACCATTTAAGTCATTATGTACATATCATACCATAGGAAAATTATTACTTTCAACTGAATGTAGGTTTAGTTAAAATCATAAAATATTTAGAACTATTGTCCTGGGGCAGCAAAATATTTTTTTCCTGTAAAATAATGTTCAGGGAGACCAGGACCTGAACACCAGACTTATTATAACTGCTGTAAAGCACTTTTTGGCTTCCAAACTGCAAGTTCCTTCTCAGCCCTAAATAGCAGAACAAGAAGTACCCTTTCCAGCATCGTAGAGAAACACCCACAGAACCAATTCGTTAAATGAGAACACATTCTATCGTTCTTTCTTCTAAAAAGAATTACCTGGTTTAAAAAAAAAAACAACAAAAAACAACCCCCCCCACAACAAACCCTCACAGTATAGCAGATATTAATGACAATTAAAAAATGTGTATACAAATTATGTCCTTATTTTTAATTAACTAGTTTTTTTGCTATTCATTGAGCTTTTTCAGCATTTCTGTTCAGCAGAAATTTACATTTTGAAAGAAAGAAATTGCACCAAGTTTTACTGATATTATTAAATATCCAGATAGAACTTTACCTACATAATGCTTTCTGAAACACACTCTTTGTTTCTTTTATTTCTTCCTTTTCTTGTGCTTCTTGAGTGTATGCTAAAAACTATAGGATATGTTGGAAAGCACTTGAGTACTAAGTATAATATTGTCTTGGTTCTGGCCAGGACAGGGTTAATTTTTACAATAGCCAGGAGGGAGCATGGCTAGGACCCAGAGGTTATTGTGTACCACCTCATACCATTTGCTGGGTGCAGAGAGAGGGAGTGTCTTCTGGGAAGAAGGGGTCCCTTTCAGGTCAGCTTGGAGGGGCAGAGGGAGTGGTCAGGTATTGTCTATTGTCGAGGGGGTTTCCATGTGAATCATTTTGTTTTCTTATCTCATTGCTGTTTCCAGTAAATTGTTCTTGTCTGAACCTGTGATCTTTACCTTTTGTGCCTCCAGTTCTCTCTCCAGCCTGCTGCAGGGGGAGGGGTAGCAGGGACTGATGGTGGTATATTGTTTGGAGGGTCGCGGTGGGAGCACTAAACTGGGTAGTACCATTCCTAAACCACAACCAATATTAAGAGAAATAGTGATACCCATAATGTGTATGATACATACAATATGCATTTTTCAGTAATGGCATAAGTTAAGACATTCTTGAATGCTATTGCTTGTATAGTTATTCAATTACATAATAAATATGGACATTTATTTTTCTGTGTGTTGGATCAGTGATTTACTGTATATAATGCTGTGAATGCTCAGTGCTGTTGCTCTTATTTTATTCCAACAATCCCTGAAGTTTGTCCCCTGAATAAAGAAGAAACTACGGAAATCACAGGAGCTAAAAACTATTCAGCAATTATCTACAGTTAGCAAAACAAATTGCAAGCACTATAGTTAATACTTTTTCTTTCTTTTAGTATGCATCTAGAGTTGATCTTTCATCAAAGAAAAGGATAAAATCCTAATGAATGCTAATGAAAACAAATGCAAGCAAATGCCAAATCTTTTTATATAGTTCAACTAAAAGCAAGTATTTTTCTGTGTAATAAAACCGATAGTAATTTATCTTGTTTGCTGATTCAGTTTAGGTTCTTTCTATTACAACAGCAATGTTCTTTTGCTATATTTGCTGATAATTTATTACCAGTAAGTTACAGTATAATCAATGAAAGTAAGTGCAATACTGTAAGTACTGTTATTCTGTCATATTATTTGCATGCACTGTGAGTTTTTGAAGTAATATATGTCAGACATAATCACTAGTTGAAGAAAATTAGTCACATGATAGCAGTATTTATACCTCCAAATTAGACTGTCAAATATCTTTTAGGTGTTGTATATCTGTCTGTACAAGGGTAATAAAAAAAAGTCCATTGAGGGCTATGAGATGAGAAAATTTCCTGCATTGAATTCTCAGAGGGAGTTTGCCTAAACCTCTGAATTACTCTTCTCTATATCAGCTACTGTCCGGAATGATTAAGGTAAAATTTCAACTATTCTTTTTAGTTTAGTACATCAAATATAACTCCATTAGCATTTTCACAGTGTAGATCACCAAGAGTAAGTTATTTCATGCATGTTTGGAAGTATTTTGTAGAAACAGCTTATCCTATAGATCCTTTGAATGCCATCAATAACAAACAAGCAAGTAAAAAAACTGTGCAAATCAACCAATCAGCACATCTATATATTAGATCTTATGTCTAGCAAGACAGGATATGTTACATTAAAGTACAAGAAATCATGGGCTAGATTTTCGAAGTGATAACAGCTGAAAGAAATATGGATGCAGCAGAAAATAGCAGTGCAGCAGTTCACATCAGTTTCACATCAGGTGCCTTTTGAAGTGCAGTAGATTTTGCAGGAAGTACCTTCCACAGACTCAAGTCCTATCACTACAGAGTGATTTTGGAGATAGAAGGTACAGAAATTACTGAAGTCCTGCCTTGCTGCCTCAAAGTCATGGACAGCCCTCCTGCAGCAAAGTTCCTCAACATAATAACTGGTGGAGGGCTACCAATGTCATCTATTGCATCTGTGTTTCTCAGGATGCTTTTAGGTGAGAAACACAGACATGTTAGATCTGAGTCTTATGGTAGAGATTCTGTCTAATATATAGTCTTTGGTTGTTTAATAAAGAAATGTCTACTCAGATAACATATACAACTTCATATTCGATTTCCTGATTGACTTTGTGCTCTTACTCCTGTCATACCTCCTGCCAGCTATTTGCCAAGTCCTTTATAGTCAATTCACAGCAGTTTGTGTTCTTTTGAGAATAAGACTTGAAAACCAATCCAACCTGCTCATTATTTATTTTAGAAAAAACATTACTATGACTTAGTAATGGTTCTCATTTGTACTGGAACAAGAAATGAAGTAAACATACAGAGATGGAACGTACAGTTACTGACCAATCTATGTCTACAAAAATTTATGGTTCAATTCACACAGCTCAAAATCCTTTTTTTTAGCATACATGGCTTTGGAAATATGGAGAAAGAAGTCATCTGAATCAAAACTAAATAAATTTTCCTAAACACAAAAAGAAAACATCAGCCATTTACCTTTCTTAAAACTCCATTTGTCTTTTCTATTGTTTTTGATCACAGGTAGCCTACATCCAAACATTGCTCAAAAGTCTTTCCTGAGATTATGAGAAAGAAACTGTACATTATCTCTAAATGTGTTTGTGAGAATTACACAGTAGTGGATATATATCAAACGCTCTAAGGATCAACAGCACTTTGCAAGAAAACATTGAGCTGCATTGCCTAGATGATGTCTTGTAGCTGTGTACTATCGATTTCTTCACAATTGTATATTTAAGTAAGAAAAAAAAGTTAAGGAGAAAATAAGGAATGGAGCAGTGAGTGGATGAACCTCCAAATTTAGCACATACTGATTCTTCACAAACATCTATTATGCACCCTATTAAGTTGATGATCCTCTGATTTATCCTAATGGACCAAATTGCATTATTATTGATATTTTATATTTATTAATGGGAATTAATAGGTGAAACACGAAGACTGCATTTGGCTGAATAACTGTAAGGGATATTTCTATCTGTGTAACAAGGTTATGCTCAAATGAGACATGAGAAAACTAGACTTTCCTTTCATAACTCCAAGGCAAAATCTGGCTTGTAAATTGGAATATTTACCTATGTCATCTTCCTGTATGAAGCATACAGACCATACATATATCATGGTTCACAATCAAATTTTGCTAATGGAGGGACTCCCAGTTGTTTGGGAATAGCTTCAGGACTCTCAAAATCCAGCCTAATCTGAACTGCTAGTTTTATAATTCGGTAGAGAGAAACATAACTTACAAAAATGGAAAACCTTTGTATTATGGTGTTGTAATCATGGCACAAAGAAGTAGTAGGGAGCCCAGGGCAGAAGGGATGTATTATGATGTATCATGTCTGAGTTGTGAAGAAAAGCAGCCTAGGTGGTCTGAGCAGATCTGCCTAAAAACCATGCAGTAAAAACCTAGGGAAGTGCAACAAGCTCTCTAAAGGTCATAATATGAACGATGCCCTAATTCTTCTGTTGGATTAGTTGCTATAGTCATCACAGGGAAGTTCTGCTACAGACCCCGACCCTAGCTTACTTTGAGAAGTGTCTGATTTTTATCTTTTTATCCCATTCACACATTTTCTCTCACATAATGATTACTTGGACTTTCAGGGTAAAGTGAATTTTGTCCTGTAAGAAATAATGTATTGTATTTTACTGATGAAAAGACTCTATTCTGTTCACAGTTGATTCTTCTCTCTTTTCGTCTCTCTATTGTGTGCATATATATTTAAATTACTTTTTAATTGATGTAGTTCTGATGTCTTTCATTGAAAAACGCCTAAAATTGCGTGAAAGAGAAGGGAGTCTGAGAACCCGTGGATGTAAAATAAGGCTCAGGCTGTGCATTTTAAAGCAACCTATTTTCATAAATGAAGAAACTATTAGCCTCTTTGTGAAATTTAACAATGTATATCTGATCTGTAGGACTGTCATTAATTCTATTTCAACAAGCAAAAAGGCCATGAATTTGCAGTATGAAGTACTTCCTCAGCACTTGCAGTTTCTGAACCATCAAGAAAATTTAGTGGTATGTCAAATATATTTTAAATGTGGGCTTATGTGAAACCATCATCTTCTGGCTTCTGCATTCCATATCAAAATAATTTTGTACTTTAAAGACATATTTTTATTGTATGTGACCTTAACAGTAATTTCAAGGAGAAGGTGCCCCACAATAACAGTAATAAAAAAGCAATTTATTTTAGATGTTAATTTTAAGGAAACTTACATTGAAAATTAGGGACACTTCATAGTATTTGTGAAAGCTATTGATTATGACCAACTTGATAGTAGAATAAGGGTAATTTTCTACCTATAATGTTCTGAATGTATTCCATTACCAGTTGCTCCCTTTTCTCAGTGCAAATTTGTAAGCTGTAGCATTATGATGAGTTCTAGAAGCATAAATTCAAGATAAATCTTTTTAGCACATTATATGGAATACTTAATTCTTATAGTATGTGAAAAATATTTCCTTTTCACTACAGCATAATCCATTATTGCCAAGAGATCATTCTGAGACACTAGCATTAATATATGGCTAAGATATTTCCTGGTGTGTGTAAAAGCATTTTTCCTCAGAAAATGAAATTCTCTACAGAGCAATACCACACAAAAGGTAAATTTGTATTTTCTTTAATTACTGTTGTATTTTATTTACCATATTTCAAACAAAATGGGACAAAAACCTCACAAAAACCTCAAACTTACATAAAGACTTGTAATTACTACTATCTTGACAAATTTCATTATAAATGTCATAGAACACAGAAATCTGATCTAGCATTATTTGGTATTTTCATGAGAGATTTAGGTAATGGCACTGAGAATACAAGTACAAGGTACATGGGTAATACAAAACACGAGATTTTCTGAATACTTGAGAGGACAGAATGATCTTCCTAAGTCAGAGAAACATTATGAAATAACACTATCAAATGCAATAAAGACGAATGAAACAGTTCCACTTTGCTCACAAATATCACACATACAAATATAAAATAAGGAATATTTTTATATAAGGAATATTTTGCTAACATTCAAATAGAAAGATTTTTTTTTAAACAATCACACATTGATGATGCTCTTGTAGAAAGGAAAATGTAATTCTGGGGTACTTTAAACATCACTGTCAAGTAAAATACAAAGACTTATTGTTAAGTCCGACTGTGTGGTACTATGATAACAGTGGGAATAGCATGTTTAGTTTTGACCAGCATACTACAGGGAGCACTGCGACAAACTAGACAGAAGACAAAGCACAGTAACAGGAATGATTAAAATTTTTTAAAAGTGACTTAGCCAAAAAAATTGTAAGAACAAGGTTTTCTTAGCATGGAGAAAACTGAAAAGGAGAATTCCCAATACATCTGTCATGGAGATAAAGGAACATCAGGACAATACGACACCACTAAGTTCAATTTATGTGTAAGCTACAATTCCATTATAGAGCACCGGTTTTTGCTAATGGTTTCCTATAATTCTTTTTTTGTAGCTATGGATTTCTGTAATGGTTAGTTTACATTATGCCTGCACATAAGCTCATAGCATTTATTTCCTCTTTGAGCACACATTTAATGTCCACAATAAAGGCCAATAAAATTCAAACAAGAAATTCCATATATATTACAAAGCATCTAATTGCTGTAACATTTTGTCAGTTGCTCATTCATGCACAGTTTGTTAATCTAACCATTTATTGTATTGGTAACATCCAGGTTAGAAGGCTGAAAAGCTAAAAACCGAAAAAACCTCTGAGGATATTATCGGATGTTCTACAAATAAATAATTTAATACTATGCTAAAGATGCAAGTTCACAAAAAATAAACAAACAAAAAACAGAACCAAAACTGAGTAGTATTGAATTCTCAGTAGTATTTGAATTGATTTTCAAATGTAAAAAAAAATCCATCTACTTGGATTGCTTAAGATATGTTGTGTTTTACAGAATGCTGTTTAGTGCATCTCACGATCTGTTTCAACTGTCATGATTTGTTCTCCATAATTCATTCTTTTACTAGTTACAGCTAAAACAAGCCCTCTCCTTTTATTAACTTAAAAATGTTCTGGAAAGATTTGTTACAACTGTTTCTCTTGAATAATTGAACCATTTATTGAGTTTTTTTCAGCTAAGGCATGTAATGTTTCTCACAGTTATTTCTTTTTCTCAAGATTGGATAATCCCAGGATTGTAAGGAAAACAAAAATCGGGACAGATTTTAGAGGATATTTGACTTCTCTTTACTACAGAATCACAGAATAGGGGTTGGAGGGTACCTTTGGAGATCATGTAGTCCAAATCCACTTCTAAAGCATGTGCACCTGGAGTAGGTTGCATGGGTCACCCTCAAAGGAAAGAAGCTTTTCCTCATATTCAGATGGAACTTCCTGTGTTTCAGTTTGTGCCTGTTGCTTTTTGTCCAGTCACTGGACACCACTGAAAAGAGTCTGGCCTCATCTGCTTTTAACTTGCCCTTAAGATATTTGTATGTACTGATAAGATGTTCTCTCAGTCGTCTCTCCTCCAGGCTAAACAGGCACAGCTCCCTCAGTCTTTCCTCCGAAGAGAGGTGTTCCAGTCTCCTAATCATTTCATACCCCTCCACTGGACCCTTTCCAGTAATTCCTTGTCTTTCTTGAACTGGGGAACCTAAAACTGGACATGGTACTCCAGATGTCATCTCATCAGGGCAGAGGTGTCTGCCTCACCAGGACATCTGCAAGATCTGCTTTTCAGCAGACCAACGCCTATTATCATTACCCTTTCCTCTTTAATGAAAACTCATCTCCATTCATTACTTTTTCCATCATTCAGCAGTTACCTTACCTACAGTGGTTTTGACCATCAAGTAAAATTTTTCATTTCAATGAAGAAATAAGAGGGATAAAAGATGAGAAGAGGTAGAAATAACTTTTTCTCATATGCTCCTTTTTTCACTTAGAAGATATGCACATGACTACTGTCAGCTGGCATGTAATTGCATCAGGCAGGCATAGTCCCCAGTCTGTCTGAGGCTGAGTTGCAAACAAGCTCTGTCAGAGAAAACTCTTTCCTCTCTTCCAGAGGTAGGAATAAGATGCTTCCAGAGGTAGGAATCAGATGCTTCCAGAGGTAGGAAGCAGATGCTACTGCATGTTTTGTTCTTTGATTTGGAGCAAAACACTGACTTCATATATAGTTGGAGAAGGTCAAAAGAACCAAAGATAATTTTGTAAAATTTAAAATAAGCTGTGCACCAAATTTCTCAAGATTAAAGAATTGAGTATTGGAAAAATGTATCATGATTATCAGTTATTTTTTCTCATAATAAGGATGTCATCTTAAGATAAAGGACGAGTTAGGGTCTTTTTATATTTAAGGTGAATAAACTTTCAGGTCATAAAAGGATTTATAGACTCTGTGTAACAATCTGTATATCGTTTGCACCGTAGAATGCTTCAGATCAAGCTACTGTCTATAGAAAAGAAATTACTACAGCTGATGCATGCAGCACACCCTAAAGCTCAACACTGACCTGGCAATCCTTTGCCCATGGAATCTGACTTTGGCTGCAGTAGCAGTGCTTGGCTCTCCTGGAGCAACAGACCATGTGCTGAGCCATGGCCCTTATCCAGGCCCAGGCTGAGATCCCAGCCTGGCCCTGATCCATTCCTGTTCCCACAACACTGCCTGGCCACCTTGGACTGTGCCTGGCTGTGGTTTCGCCCACCAGACCTGATCCTGACCCCCACCTGCAGGCCAACACACCAGCCCAGTCTCCACCATCCCCTACCCCCATCCCCTGGGAAGTGCCTGCTTCCCAGGGCTGGAGCTGTCCCTGGCTGTCCTGCTGCCTGCCCTGCTCCCTGGCCTGGAGTGGAATGGGCCTGGCTGGTGTTGCCCTACCTTGCCACTCCCAGGAAGCCCCTGATACCTTCATCTCCCTGCCCCAAGAAGCTGCTGGCCCCTGCTGCACCGTGAGGTGTGGAGAAGACATCAATTAACACAGTTCTCATGAAAACAATAGATCCAGAGTGTGGAATGACCAACAAAGAGCAGTATAAGCAAAACTAAATTAATTTGTCTCAATTCTGATATGTTAGATGTGAAAGGCAGTTGTTGCACTGAACGTGTTTATCAGATATACAAATCTGAGATCTATTCTTGGATGTTCTCTCTTCAAGGACTCCGATGACATTACATGACAGTAGACTTCTCCTTCATCCTAACATGTCTTTATTGTCTCCCTCTCAATTTGGACCTAAGAAAACAGTTTGACTAAGGAATCTCTGGTAACAGAAAACGTATATGAATTACCTCCCTCTAGCTTTTTTTTGTCTTGTGAAAAGGTATGACACTGGAATCTGTTAAAAAGATGTGGTCTAAGTTGAAGGAACTCCAGGATGCAATTGTCGGCATGGATTTTTAAAAATTACTTGCTTTTTATACGAATGAAGGTCCCTGGGAATCAACTTAAAAAATAATCATCTTGTACAAAACAACCTCTCAAATCCATCAAGCAGTTTAGGAAGAAAATTTCTGAAGATTTCAGCTTGAGTAGCCAGTGTTCTAAATGTTCCTAAAGGTGCAGGTTTTAATCTTTAAATTCTCTAACTCTACTATCAAGTAAGGTAGCTCATTGGATTGCCTAATAGGTACAAACATGTGTGTGTATAAATATATATATGTGTATGTCTGTGTGTCTGTGTGTCTGTGTGTTTGTGTATACAGATGTGTTTGTACATAAGTATGTGTATCTATGAATATATATACCATACATTTTTGGTAAAAATGTATGTATACATATTGTATAAGTATATGCAATATGTAACCTATGTTTTATGGTAAATGATACAATTCATGTTTGACTTGGATCAGAATATAATACTTTGGCTGAAGTAACAAAGAGGAAATGTACTCAAGGATGTGACTGCAAGCAATTTTTGGGGTCAGTGTTTTAAAAACATATTTACTTATCTATTTTTATATGCCTTCATCATCTCTTTTTTCTGTGCTTGGTAGAAGACGACAGCTGCACATTCTGCATGTCTCTCTGTTGTGATTTCATTTGGCATGTTAAACACGTCTATGTCATGGTTTCATTTGAAATGTAAAGTTCTTCAGATACAAACCAGTAAGATATATTTTAGAGGGGCAAAGAAATGGACACATCTTAGAAACTTCCAAAAAGGACAGGGCAGTTGCTTTTAAAATTTAAAGTTGCAGAAAATATAAGCAATATTAGATAGAAGAACATACAGAGCATTCTTATGAGTAACAGCATAACTGGATGGACGGTGACAATGTACTTGGTATCTTTACATTCTTTAAGCAATCCTGTACTGTTATTTTCTGAATTCTTTTTTCCAGATTCACATTAAATGTGTATTTCTGCATTCCCGAACATAAAATAAATAAATAAATGAAAGTTAAATTAGAGATGCCATTGAAGCTCGCTTGGAAGCAGTTTTGATAGTTTGAAGTCCCTTTAAAGCTCCAATTTGACAGAAATAAACTAAATAAAAATATTCCGATAGTTAGTTTAGATATTTCTTTAGCCTAATTGAATGAATTGAATTTAATTTTCAAGGACTTTTAACTTTTGTCCCAAATGAGAATTTTACAGACAGCTGCTATAGCGCAACAGCCTGGAAAGAGATGAGAGATATTTCAGTTTGTCAGGACAGCAGTACAAGTGGGGTATTTAAATACATAGCCTTATAGTCTTACTGGAACTAATTGGCTTTAATGCTTCTTAGTTGTATTTGAAATTTAACAAATTGGTAAATTAGGGCAGCAAAGAGCCTTACCCCAGAGATTTAAACTGCAGTACATGAGCTTCCCATTCTTTATCCATTAGGTTAATAGCTCCCTCGCCTTACTAATTTCTGCTACTTGTGTTTCTGTTTGTTTCCTTGAAGAACTGGAGAGAAGTGTTGGTGTTTGCTATCCAAATTACACACTTGTCTACATTCAAGCTGCAAGAGTCAGTTGAACTGACACAGAAGCAGCAGTTATGCACACTGAAAGCTGGGCTTGAGAAAAGAAATAGGTTTGAAATATGATCCAAGCTTAGAGATGTAGAATTATGAACTTTTTGCAGTTTCATGCAATATTTTAGGTTTTCACTTGCCATGCATTTAAAAAATATGGTTGAAATGAATGATCTCACTTCCTTTGCTTTCTTTCAGGAACATAACTTGTTAATAGTCAGACATGCATTATCTAAAGAATTCCAGTCATTCTGGTTATAGCTTTTAGGTCAAAAACGTTCTCAAGAATAACATGATTAGCTTCTAATAAGTAAGCGAACTGTTGCCCTTACTGAAAGAGTGTGATTCAATTGTAAGACTTTAACAACTTTTACTGCTAATATTATAAGGTGGGGTTCTCCTGAAGTGTTAGTAATCTTACATGTTTGAAATCTCTGCCATAGCTTTTTATGTCTTAAACCTAAGTGGCAATGGTTTCTGTCAAAGTGACAACCATTATGTTTCCTGCTCACAGCAAAATTGTTATGGAAGGCTATTAAGGAACAGCCCCACACTGATAGGGTCAAATGTACATGTCCTAATTTTAACCCTTGGAGAAATTATTTTATAATGCTTTTGTATAAT